CTATGAACCCCTTCCTACTACTTGCTTTCCATCCTTTTTATCCAGCTGTTCAAAGGTGAATTTAGGAAGGATGCTGTATCTCTGCTTCTATTTAGAAGTTATTGGTCTCAAACAAGCTAGCAACTGGTCAGCAAGGTGTCAGAGGAATTGCACAGATTGTCCAAGATTGGCACAGTACCTCTGACTAGGCTTCCTTAGGACCTTCATCAGAATCTTTTGTAAGCAGCATCCTCAGTTGTTAAGAGTAATGGAGAGCCTTCAGTGGAGATCCCTTCATACTACCCCTTGCCCAAACTGGCATTTTACTTGAGATCTTATAGATGGATGCAACCGGTGGGACACCTCCAGATCTGGCAACAACAATGGGAATGCTAGCATAGACCAGCTACCTCCATTTCAACAATGACATCTTATACAACCTGCTCCGAGCTTTGCACTTTATAGTGGGTGAAGGAAAAAAAAAGTCTTTCCTCTTGCTTCTACTTTTGAACAGCTCAAGAAGGAAGTATTTTAAGAACAGAAGAGACCCAGCTGTTACTCCACAACTGGTCTAGGAAGTTGTCTCTGGAAGAGTCACACAACTAAAGTAGCATCTGATGAGTAATACCAGAGTCCTGCTAGCAACTCAGCTTCCCCACTCTCCAGGGACTCTTAAAAGCAAGGCTAGTCAATGACTCCAAGCAGCTGCTGCAAGTCTCAACAATGGACACCTCTTTTCTCCCCAGGGCAAGAACTGAGGAGGAGCAGAACTCAAATAGGTGGGGAAGTTTAGACCTAAGCTGTGGGTAGTTTCTGTCTACAAGGACTTGTTTTGAGAGAGGCCTGCAGTACATTGCTCTTCAGTCCCTTACTCACTTGATTTTCAAGACATTGAGTTCAAATGATTTTTTTTTTTTTTTGCAAATAATGTTCTCCAAAGTCATCTCCCCTCTCAGCCTATAGTTCAGTGAAGAGGAAGTTTCACCAAATTCAACAGCTTCCCCATCACCAGACACAAGGACAGTGGTTTCATTGCAGTTTCCCAAGTGTTTTTATGTCCACTAACACTACTACAAATGGCTGCATTCATTATCCTGGGTGAGAAGGTAAATGCATACAGACCAGAGAGCTAAGACCTCATTTCTGCTCATTCTTTGCAAATTGCAAAAGAAAGGAAGGCAAGACAGTATCAAAGCTTAACAGCCCTTTTTAAGTGGGATCCCCTGAACCAGTAGACACTGGGAGCAAGTAGAGGCAAGCTTCTGGAAATGTCTTTAGAACCCTGAGGTCAGATAGGAGCATAGGGCCTGCGTAGCCAATTCAGTGTTAATAAAACCTGGAAAGGCCTCTAGAGATCAGCTTGGCAGGTCAAAATGCCAGCTGCCTGCATCCAAAACAGCCTTAGCATCCCATGTTTACTCATCACTTCTGAAACAGCATTTCAGATGAACATCTAACCCACAGTATGGATTTCTGAAGCCAGCAAGTTCAGCTACCGCAGATCACAGAAGGGTAGCCCTACCCCAACCTCACTTCCATGCCTCCCCTCCCAAGTTTGAATAATGTACCAAAAACCCCCCCTGAGTTAAGGTCAAGGCCAAGAGTAGCTGCAGTTACACAACATATTATGCTGCTTTAACCATACTTGGTCTAGTGAAAGAGTAGAAACACGTCTAAAGGGATGGTTAAACCTAGTGTGCTCTGCTACACTAAGAGGAAGGCAGCTTCAGGCTAGGTCCAGCTGCATTAGTTGTGCAGTCTGTAGCTGCTTTGGTCAGACACGTACTTACCTAATATAACCCTTACAGAACGGCGTTTTATTCCTTGACTCCTGTGAAAGCCTGCCATTAAAAGTAATCAGGCAACTAATCTCTGACTAACGTTAGCTTAAAATCCAGACCAGCTCATAAGAAACAAACAAAAGAATCCAGCTCTACCCAGAAAAAAAAAAATATGGATCTAATCAAGTTGTTCTAATAGGAGTGCTTTAGAGAGCACTATTGTAGCCTAGTGCAATATCAACAGAGATGCCAAAAGCATGATGAAACATAAGACAGCCTTCCTACCTGATGCCATGACCTGGCATAAGCTGAAGGACCAGGAAAGAAACCATGAATCCTTAGTAAGCCATTATATTTTTTTATTTTTATAATAAACTTCACTTTATCTTAAGGAAGACAGAAAAATTAATTGTGAGAGTGAGGCTGCAGAAATGCTATTCTGCAAGTGAGCAGGCTAAACAGCCCCAGGCCACTGGCCAAGCCAAAAAGGCTTCCCCCTCCCCACCATATTGTATAAGGGGCCTCTGTACTCAGGAACTTCTATAGCCCTTTATTGGCTTTCAGCATCTCCTCCCCCATTGCATTATAGCAAGATCAGTATTGTAAGTGGGAGGTGGCTGAGCATCAAGAGGCAGAGTTAGGCAAGGCTACTGATGGGCTCTGGAGGGGACCACACTTCATTTCTGCACCTGCCAACACAGCTAGATTAGCAGGAAGGCAGAGCAAGATGTTACAGCATTGTTCTTTACACATACATGATGTAATCAAAAATAAACAGATGATTTAATTCAAAGCAAAATAAGTGTTGGCTCTTTCCGCAAGAGCATCTCCCTCTATGACGACTTCACACATTCCTTCTCCTGCTCGATGGCTGCAAGGAAAAAAAGGAGAGAGAGAAAAAAAAAACAAAAACACACAGCTCTGTTACTCTGGGTTGAGAACATAGAAACAAAAGCAGTTGTAAAGAAAGTATTGTGCTTGCTGCTGCAAGCTGACCATGGGTCAGTGCTTGGTCCCCTCCAGTCCATTTTTTGGATGCATTTCACTTTTCTCTGCTCATTAAAATTTGTTTAAACGGCTTAGAAAATGTTGGTCTAGTTCAATGTCTATAAAGCCTCCCAAAACAGTCCCTGGTGTAACCTTTACATAAAAACAAAAAGGGAGGGGGGAGCACAACTTCGGGAGGTGGGAAAAGGGAGAAAAATTTTTTGGATGACCTTAAGATGAATGAAAATCTGAGCTTCAGGAGTTCCCATTAAGGGAGTGCATGTTAAAAGATCAGTGCATCCCAAGTTTAGAAAGCTGACAGCATAATCCTTCACACTGACACACTGATACCCAAAGTAGAGGAGAAGTGCTTACAAATCACAAAGAGGAGAGAAAAGTCACACCAACATGGGTACAGATTTGAACTAAGACACCGGGCAACCTGTGTGGCATGGGCAACCGGTATGGCACATTGTTCCATTGCTTACCTTATCAGCCACTATCCTGCCAGTCTGAAGGGCAGATCAAGCAGGGAAGAGGGATTAGTGTGGTACTTGGAGCATAGGGCTGATATGGCACACCTGCCAAAGAGATCATCCTCTAGTGCTCTAGACATTTTAAAAACTTTTTAGAAGATCACTCTTTGTAAACTGTTAAATTGCCATCTTGCTGTAAAAGCACCGTGTGATATGGTATAGTAACTTCCCAGCCAACATAAACAGGGAGCCTGAAGAAGGCTCACATACCAGTGATAAGAATACAGTATAACCTCATAAATCCAGTTTTTAAAATTGGAAAATTCTCAAAGATCTAGCACTTTAAAAATATACTACATTAGGGAATAGTGGCAGCTGGTCCCAGAGTAGCAGCCGCATGCAGAGCAGCAATATTGGGTGGTGGACAGTGGCAGCAGCAAGCTTCCCCCTCTGCATTGGGGGGGGGGGTGTAAATGGTGGGTGGTTACAGAAAGGGGACCACCCCATGCCATTGCTGCTACCTTCCCCCACCCCACCCCATACACAGAGGGGGAAACTTGCACATACATGGCAATTACCACCACCATCCACCACCCTGCTCTGTGTGCTGCTCCTCCCCCCATCTCCAACAAAAACTCCTGCCCTAAGACCATGCATTTTCCTCATTTCAAAAATCTGGAATTTTCAAGTTTCTGGCAGGTGCTATGTCCCAAGGATGCTGGATTTATGAAGTTGCACTGTACTCTTAAATTATATGAATGTGAATGTGGATGATCTTAGACCCAAGCCCCAGCAGAAAGGTTCTTGCTTCCAGCTCTTACTAGATGGAGCCTGGGCTCAGATCCTATCAGCTGTCCAAAAGCACACTACTTTTTACTGGAGTAAGAACGAAAACCAAGAGGCCCATCTGCCAGATTCCTCAGCGATGAGATCAGACCACGAAATTCATCTGCTCCCACTGAGACTCCCACAGTGCGGAGAGCGGAAGTTTCAGGGTTAAGTAAAACTCCACTGAGAAATCAGGATTGACCATCCAGGATAGAAAAGGCTTTCCTTTGACCTAGACTTTCCACTGCCTGTTGAGAGCCTATGTTGGCAGAGAACATGAATAAAGGCAGACAGCTCTGCTTCAATTCAGCTCCTTTTGCACCCAACACAGGCATTTGCCAGTTGCATAGTATGGATTATACTGGGCTCAGGTCTCAAGCTGAGGCTCTAGTAACAGGCTAGCAAGGGGAGCCATAACTGGTCGTGTGATCTCCTAGCCCTGCAGACAATGAGACAGAAGGTGGTCCAGGCAACTGGATGCTGCCAGGTGAGGTCCATACTTATACTTACTCTCTTTGGAGGGAAGCGTATTTTTCTCCTCCGTGTTGGTCTTTTTCAGCTTCTTCTTGTCAAATTTCTCTACTTCAGAGAGGTCAGGCTTGTCACACATCTTTGCTGGGGAGGAGAGGGAGCTGTGTTAGGAGCCCTTGCGGGCTGGCAGGAAGCTCCCGCACGGCAGCACGTGCTGCCCCAGCGATGCCCAGGGACCCGCCGACAGTCCCTTCGTTGGACGGGGCAGGGCGCGGCACCACCCTCCC